ATAAACGATCTCCTTCTCTAATAAACAATCCAAACAGTGAGGTGAAAGTTTAGAAACACAGTGCAAACCTAGCTTTAGTATCTAAATCAGAATTATCAGCCTTTCCAAGGAGTCAGCAGCCAGAAAATCACATTCATCCAAGTTATGATACTGTGATTTTACTGTAAACAGGACTCAGCAGACACAGTGGGGCAATGTTAGAAGTGAGAAAACTTAAAGTACATAACAATTTCTACTACACTTTCTTAAATACACTGATTCAGAGAGTATTAGGGCAATAAACTTTGTTGGTATTTTCCTGCCCATTATGTACAAAAAACCAAATACTCTTTAAAAACCACTTCTAAACCTGCAACTTCAGCTAAGATAATTTTCATCTATTGCTGTCCAGCCCCGGGGCTGCTGCAAATGATGCCTTTGAGAAAATTAGTGGGAAGAACTCCTTCCTCAACTTACTTCACCAGCCTCTGCCTGTCACTGTCCTAACACACCAACCCACCACGGCTGTGGGTGTAAACAGCATGTCAGAGAGTTGTGCAGTGCACAACCTGAACAACTCAGTGACCACAACTGCTTCGTTCACAGGCTTGGGAAAACACATGCTGCTTATACTGTTTCTATATTCACCTACCGTAAGGGTCCCCTCTGGCAGTTTTGGAAATGAGAACGAGACTAACTTTTGCTGGACTCCTGCGTTATCTCTGCTCACCATCTTTCTGATCACACGAAGATGCTGAATTTATTTTAAATTAGACTTTAGGAAAAACAAATATACCTATAAACTGCACCTTGTTTCAAGAACATAAATGGCACTCCAACAAGAGCTTGGCTTTGTCTTAGGGCAGCATTATATGTAACAATATTACAAGTGACACCACAGTCACTTGTGCAAATATCCAAGTTTCAAAACTTGGTACACTTCAAACAGGTTTAGGATAAAACTCATAAAGCAACATTCGTATCAGTGAAACGGCTTGGAGCAGGGCCAAGTGAGCAGGCTGCCACTGACAGTCACAAAAATGCGTAAGTTCCATAAAAGTTAAAAGTCTTAGCAAGGAACAACAATCATGCTTGAATGACCAAAGTAAAGTGTAACCAAAACCCACTTTTATTTGTGGTTTTTGAGAGAAAATAAAAATAAAAATGAAAAGTAAAGGGGTGGGGGCGGGGAGAGCTCAGTGGTAGAGTACGTGCTTAGCATGCACAAGGTCCTGGGTTCAATCCCCAGTACCTCTGTTAAAAATAAACAAACAAATAAATAAATCTAATTACCTCTCCCCCCAAAAAACCAAACTCAAAAAAAAAGCTGAAATTAGTTAATTAATTTTAAAAATATAAAATGCTGACCTAAATGTCAACTGAGGAATTCAGTGACGCTAAAGAAATTTGGAAGCCAAACGACAGGCTTTCTGCAACGTCCATCACCCTTCTCGCTTAATGGTGTCAGGTGTCAGAGCAATTTCATGAGAAGTAGTTAAAAACATGAAAATGTCGTCCAAAGTACTTTGATCCAGAACTAACCGTTGGGGGTGGGGTATAGCTCAAGTGGTCCAGCGTGTACTTAGCATGCACAAGGTCCTGGGTTCAATCCCCAGTACCTCCTCTAAAAATAAACAAAATAAATTACCCCTCCTTCAAAAAAAAAAAACACTAACTGTTTGAGCTGAATCACCTGTCAAAATGAGCTGACACTTTCAAGAGAACAATCAGGTTACTTATTACGCGTACTGATAGCCAGTCTCCAGGCTGACAGGATAAAAACATGGTAAATGTGGAGTCCTCTGTGAACCAGTTGTTTTGTAAAAACAGACTGTTACTAACACCTAATCCATATTGTGCTTTAACCAAACCTCAGTGTTTCCTGGAATCACTAATGTCCACCTTTAACGCAGCCCCGTAGAGGCTCCTTCCAACAAGAACAATCTCAGTGCTATTCCTAAGGCCACATCTCCAAAGGAAACAAACAACGTGGACACGGCCGAGGCTGCCAGGTGCAGCATGAGGAAATCGCCTATATTTAGCACCGGCTTATCATTCCGCCTGGAACGCTACTCCAGCCTTCATGCCACAAGAGTCCTGACTCGCGAGCATCTGACATCCAGCCAGAGAGAGTCGCTTATGGCATCTTTGAAAATAATTAGACATGGGATCCAATGTGCTCATGAAACAAGGCTGAACTGCAAGTCCCCTTTCTTCTGGAACAGCAGCTTTCCGAACACTGGGTCCCCTGTCCGGAAGTTAGGACAAGCTGTGACTTGACCAGCTGACAGTGGCTGGTTGTCAGGAAAAGACCACCCCGGGCTCCTCTGCCGTTCTGGGAATTGTCCACAGACTTGTACAACAGACCTCGCAGAGCGATGGTGAGGAAGCCACCAACCTCGGTTCTCTCCAAGATGCATAAATTTTAAATCACATTCACTATAGCATTATTTGTAAGAAAAAGTATCAAAAATTTACCCTTTACAATTATTAACTGAATTGTGGGAAGTTCAAATAACTGAACATTAAACAGACATCAAAATGTATAAAGACGAAGACTTTACAAAGAGTTTTTGATGTTACAAGGCAAGTGTACGTATACATATTCTTTAATTGAAAGAGCAAGATATTAAACCATTTATAAAGCACGCTCTTAAGTATGCAGAACACATACACATAAGACTAGACTGGAAAAGCCCAGAGTATTCAAGAATGATGATCTTGGATGAGAGACTTCAGGTGGTATGTTTCCTTCTCTGTACTGCTGATGATTTTTAAAAATATCTTATTTATTTATTTTTTATTTTGTTTCGGGGGGAGGCAATTAGGTTTATTTATTTATTTCCTTATTTTTGGAGGAGGTACTGGGGATTGAATCCAGGACCTCATGTGTGCTAAGCACGCGCTCTACCACTGAGCTGTACCCTCCCCCTTGCTGATCATTTATATAGCAATTATGATTGCTTTTCACATTAAAATTATACGTAATTTTTAAAATATGCTGATGCTTGAATATTATTTGCCTATACCCACACCCAAGTTCAGAAACAGAGGCAGAGCCTCCAGGAACAGAACAGAGGGTAGGTCCTGTGTCGGAAGAGCAGGACAGTGGGCAGCGTTCCCTCTCTGCTCCTCAGGACACAAGCCCTCGAGCCACAGGGCCCACCCATGGGGGGCGCAGGCCTCCTGGGCAGAATCTGGGGGCACCCCCAGCAGCTGCACCTCTGGGCTCCTCAGTTATGAAAGCAGGTCACCCTCGCACCCACCCCGAAGGGCAGTCATGAAATTGCACGACTGGACAGACACAAGGCTTCTTGGACGACGCCTGCGAGCGGACAGCACTCCCTGTCAAAGCCCGAGCTGCTCTCCCATCACCGCATTCCAGGACGACTGTCACCTCCCTCTGGGACGACGCCAGCACCAGGACATCCCGCCCCTGCCGCTGTTAAGGACAACAGACCTGCCTGGCGTTCCCTCTTGTCTCTCGCCTCTCATCTCTGTGGCATTTCCTCCCTGATCTGTCGCTTTTTCCTTCTGCTAACTTAAGGTTTTGTTTGTCCTTCTGTCTCTAATTCTTTTAAGTGGTCGATTTACTGAACAGAGACAGACTCACACACAGAAAACACACCTACGGTTACCAAAGGGGGAAAGAGGAGAGGGACAAACTGGGAGTTTGGGATTAACAGACGCAAACCACTGTATATAAAGCAAAGAAACAGCAAGTTTCCACTGCACAGCACAGGGAACTAGATTCAGTATCTTGTAATCATCTAGAATGAGAAAGGATATGAAAATGAATATATACATGTTTAACTGAATCACTACACGGTACACCAGAAACTAACACAACATTGTAAACCAACTACATTTCAATAAAAAATAAAAAAAGAACCGCCACCACCAAACCGGCAGCAGGGCGCCTCTCCGTCGGGGGACCGGCCGACCTGACCTGGGGGGCGCCGAGGACAAGGAGGCCTGGCCCCGCGCTGGAGGCCGCGCTGCACCCCGGCCTTCCTCACTGCCGCCTGGGCCCAGCCCGGCCCCCTGGGCGTCCCCTAGAACAACAGAAACCACCTCTCCCGGCTCACTCGCTCTTCCTACAGAAACGCGCGCACATCTTCAGAGCACTGTCTTACCACGTCCCTGGCCCGTTCAGGAGGACTCATCAGGGCTATACTCTCACATTCTGATGAGAGTGAGGTTACAGGAGGTGGGGCAGGAGGGGCACAGGCCACCACGCTTTAATTAATGTAGTCAATTTAAAAAAAAATACTTCTTTAGTAATTTTAAATAAAGATATGAAATCAGTTAAGATTTTAAAAAGCCTTTAATCAAAATAAACATACTTAACTGTGAAAAGCGCACAGTTGGGGGAGAACAACTGAAACTGGGGGTCTCTGGAGCACCAGGACCCCTGCAGAGGCAGCCAGGCCAGTGCACGGCACCCCGCCCCGCCCACCAGACCCGGTCTGCAGGGTCTGGAGAAAAGACCCAGGCATCAGGGTCAAGCGTGCCAGCGCTGGGGACGAGGGCGCTCCACAGCAGTCAGCACAGGGGAGCCGAGTCCCTGGGAGGGCAGCCCCAATGGCCGAAGGGGGCCCTGCACACGGCCTGGCAGCAGACAGACAGGCGGCCACCCGCCCCGCTCCCCGCTCCCCGCTCCAAGTCCCCTGGCCCCGGGGACCGCTCCCTGCCTCTCTGCAGACTCGAGTGAAGCCCGTCACAGACACAGGTCTATTCCTGACCAACGCATGGGCGCTGCCTGACCTGGTGTGGTCATGTCACATGTGCAAAATACAAAGAAGTCAACGGAGAGACTCAGTCCCCCCACCTTTCCTCTGTCCTCCCCCTTAAGAGGCTGGAACTGGGGCTACAACATTCAACAGTCCTTTCTTAAAGATCTCTATGCCAGCAGCCGAGGTGCGGCCCCGCTCTGCCAGAAGAGAGAGGCAGAGAGAGGAACTCCACAGAAGGACGGCCAGCTTCGTGGAAGCGGGACCACAGAAACGTGTGCACAGTACCTGCTGCGTGGAAGAAACATGGACTCCTTAATGAACACGGAACCAGAGAGCAGGATATACCAGCAGGTCCCAATATCATCAGGGCTGAAAGAAAAGACAATAAAATTAGGTAGTTATCTCTAACCAAAAAAAAAAAATAAAAAACATACATAGCACCAAGTATAGTACCCATGCTAATCCTAGAATCCTGAAAAAAATGAATAGCATAAAACAGGCACACAAAATATCATTATTTAGCTATTGGAGTCCGTTTTTTATTACCCAAATAAGCTACATGTATTTATCAGCATACTTAAATGTTTTAAATGTTCCTCAGACCTACAGCACTTTATTTTATTTTTTATAAGTTTTATTCTTTCATCTAATTTTTTCAATCTGAAAAGACTTCCCCTTGCTTCATAAAACAAAAAATATAAAGAGGTCAACAGTGAGACTCAGTTCCCCCGCTTTCCCTGTCCACCAAGCTCCCACGTCCCTGCACCAGATGTGCTGGAATTCTTTCAGAGTTTCCTTACACACACGTACACAAAAATGGGCCCATTCTTATGCCCTCCTCCACCTTTTTTTCCATTTTACAGCACAGACAGCATGCTGTACAGTGCTCTTCCCTTTGTGCTCTTAGAGGCCTTCTCATCAGAAGATGGCTTTCTTGTTCAGTCCAGACGTGCCTTGCTGGACTGAAGCAGCCCCCTCCTGCTGGCATTTCAGTGGATTTAATGCATGCAGTTAAAAGAAAATTCAGCCTGTAATGAGTGATCTTGTACCTCCAGCAGTAACTGTGATGAGTAACCAGAAGTCCAGCTGGGGGGTGAAAGGTCACACCCCCGTGACCCTGATAAACACGGCCAGGGGTCCTTCCCAGGCGGTGCACCCCAGAGGCTCCCGGCCTCCTGCAGCCCTCCTAGGGGAGTCTGCCTATTTGTCTAACAGACGTTTAACACCTCACAGTGAGGGCTGTTCCAGGTGACCTTAGGACACCTCACAAAACAACAACAACAAAGATCCCTGACCTCATGGAGCTTATATCCTGGGGAGACAATACACATAACAGACAATAAAAACATAATACATCAGTAAATTATAAGTCCATGCTCTGGGGCATAAATTAGTGGAGGGTAAGGAAAACAGGGGTGAGTGATACAATTTTAAATGTGTGATCAGGACAAGTCTCGCTGAAAGAGCCTGTCTGATCAGAGGAGCGGAGCACCCCTGGCCCGGGGCAGGGAGGTGAGTGCAGAGGCCCAGGCGGGCGGCGCCGGGCAGGGCGGCCAGGGAGGGGCTGGAGACTGGCTGTCATGACCTTCACACACCTAGGATCGACACTGAGATCTAAGCCTGTCTGGTGGTTGTCCGGCTTCCACATACATGCACATGACCCAGGACGCTCCTTTCAAACGCCTGTCCCAGGCTCTACCCATCCCACCCGGCCCCAGTGTCTGACCGCTGCTGGGAGAGCCATCACAGCACCTTTAAACAAATATCCCCGGTCGTTCTTATCCCTGCGCTTGTCACGCTGAACAACCTTGAGAAAAACTATCTCGGGATCAAGCCCAAATGAGAACAAAAGGCAGGGAAAAGTGACAGCCCTGTCACTGACCATGTCACGAGTTTCGTGGGTCTTATTCACCAATGTTACTTTAATTTTTCTCAAATAGTTGTTTTATGTCATTCAACTATGCGCTAAGGAGTCCCTCAAGGGCTGCTGAGATGCCTAAAGCTAGGAATCTTGGGATGACCATGACTGAGCATGTCCTGGTAACCGAGTCTTCCAGCACCAGTAACAGGCAGAGGGAAAACCCTGAAGACGAAAGAGGCGTGTGCAGGAGGGAAGACCTCTGCAGGTCCCTCCATTACCCAGCCAGATGCTCAGAGAAGCCCTGCAACTTCCAGATGGAGCTGAGAGCCACAAGGGCAGGCCGGGTCCCAGCCCCCATGCTGCACCCCGCCACGCCACCGGGAAGCCACAGAGCCCTGCCTGCGACAAGCACTGAGGAAAGGGAAGACAGCCAAGCAAAACAAAACAAAACAGAGACGGGCCAGCAAAAACGATCAGCTCGCCTTCAGTGAGACCTGAGAGAAGGACCCGGAGCAGTCGTGCTGGACCGGCCCCTCCTCCAGGCCCACCGGGACAGGACGGCAGGTCTGGAATGGGATGGGGGTGGCGGCACACACCCCGCCCCACTCTTTCCCATCTTACCTCCTGCTGCCCTCAGCACAAGCCCCGCTGCTGGGGGGGCTCCTGTCTGTGCCCCGCTGCCTGGCCCTCTTCACCTCCTAAGTCAGCCTTCCTCTGCGGGGTCTCATTCCAGGATGCGTTCCCCACCCACTTGTCCTATTTTGTCCTTCCCTACCTCGGTCCCACTCCCAAGCTCTCTGTTCCCCACCTTCCCCCACTGGAGCTCCTTCAGGCATCGTGGACACAGGGCAGGATGTCAGTCGGTGTTTACTCAGGTAAATGGGATCAGCACCTGCTTCCTCTTGTGACCCAGGTTCCTGGGAGAAGGAAGCCCAGCCCCTCGGTGCAGCCCCCAGGAGAAGTAGGACGGAGCCAGGCAGAGAGCACGGGCTTGGGGACACACATCCTGTCCCAGCCACCATCATCCCGGC